TCATTATGGGGTACTGAGTGTAGATTAATGAGGAAAAAAAATGAATTTGAACGATTGTAGTTCAAAGGCTGCAACATAACAAAATTGAAAAAAAAGTGAAGGGGGTCTGAATACTTTCCGAATGCACTGAAATTGTGTTCCCAATTGCTGCCATAAGTCAAGGACTACACACACATCACGCAATTACATTCATTGAGTGAAGATTAAGCTCCATGTCAAATATCTGCTGTGTGATAAACTTGGGCTTTCTTTTCAAAATGGCTTGGATCCTGAATTTTCTTCCATGGCAAAACACACTAAGAAAATGTAGCTTTTATTTCTGCCATTAGGATTGGAAACTTGCAAACTGTGGTGATGTCATATAAGTGGTTATAGATGGACACTAGATGTTCCACACCAAAATCTCTCAAGTAATAAGATGAGCAAGCTGGGATTCATGTCAGTGTATGAAATAGGGTGCAGTCCAATATCTGAACAAATCATAGTACTCAACTTTGGTGCTGGCCTAGACCAAGGAGACTGTAAGTTCTAGGCCTCCCTTAGATTACCTAAGCTGGCTGGATGACTTTGGGCCAGTTGCTCTCTCTCAGCCCAACCCACCTCACAGGGTTGTTATTGTGGAGAAAATAGGAGGAAGGAGCATTAGGTATGTTTGCTGCCTTGAGCTATATAGAAAAAAGGTGGGATAAAAATCTAATAACAATAATAACAACAAACCCAAACCATCTTGGTTTATGCTTAGAGAAAATTCTTATACTACCTCTACTAGTTTGCCTATTTGCCAGATTTTGGTTTTGTTTTAACACCCAAATGTTCCTCATGCCATGTGGGACTGAATATCATCACAAGAACTGTCAAGCAATTTCACCAATGGCAGAACGTAAAAGCAGTAACTGGACATGTTAAACAATGAATAGGCAAAAAGATGAAGCAAGGCCAAGAAGAGACACAAGATACCTTAGAAAAGGTAAAGCAGCAGTAGGGAAGCAATGCAAGACAGAAGACAGAATGTATACTTAGGAGAATAGCCCAACCCAGGTTTGAGAAGAATTTCTGAACTTCACTTAGGAATTGATCTTTGTTCCTGGCAAAAGACAACAGGTTCCTAGTTCTGAATCTGCCAAGAAGCTGAGAATAGCCAGAAGAATTCTACACACCCATTTTAATTATATTGTTTAATGTCATGTAAATTCATTTTGGATAATGGGAAGTATAATGGTTCTGTACTTGAAATGACCTTTTAAAAAGCTATCTCACGTAGAAGAATATTTTTAAACTATTATTCCCCTGCTCATTGCTTTCAATTATTACATCCTGAAAATTAAGATCCAGACATCTGCATAGATACCATGTTGACAGACAATATGGCTTAAAGATAAATGCCCCTTCCATTGTTTTCATTCTGCTACCCACTAGAGGAAGGAAGGAAAATAGGCATAATAGTTGGAAGCCAGTCTTGTAAGATGTAATTATTTTATTCTTATTGAATATAGGACTTACTTCTGAGTAGACCAGCAGACAAAAGCACTGTTCTGTTTTAAAAATACTATTCCATAGAGTACATTTTTCAAAATAAAAGTAACTCTTAGCACTAATATCTTAATATATTTTCAGGTCAAAGTGCCTCTGTCAGAGGTAGTGGGAGGATATTTCTAGGTTGTCTATTTGCATTTTATTTGCATTTCATTTTCCTATCACTTCAAGGGCAGAGCCCACTCATTTTTTGCTACCAATGCAAATCTGTTTGCAACTTTCTTCACATCAACACCTCTTATATGCACTGGAATTTACCTAACCCAATTCCTGGCCTGGAAAGAAACAAGGGGGAGACTGGAATAATCTCAATCAAATAATTGATTCAACTCCTAGGAAAAGTGTGTGTATCAACTGAATTGATTACATACTGACATCAATAACTTTAAATGCATATAAATTGGACACTCGCAGTCAGAAGATCAGACTGTTTCCTACTTATGACATGAAAAACAAATAAGTAGTGGTGTTGCTTTCATAGTCAGGAAGGACACAGCATAGACAATACTTGGATACAATGCAGTCAGTGGCCGAATAATATCAATTAGACTTCCCGGACAATCCTTTGAGATGACAATTATCCAAGTTTATGCTCTAATCAACCATGCAGAAGAAGAGGAGGTTGGTAACTTTTACAGTTGAGTTCAATATGAAATCAATAGAAGCATGCAACCAAGATGTGTTGCGTGTGATTGGAGATTGGAATGCCAATGTTGGAAATAGTGAGGAAAATGTAGTTGGACTGTTCAGCCTAGGTAATAGAAATGATGCAGAAGACAGAGTCATCAGATTCTGCCAATCCAATGGTTTCTTCATTGCTAACCAGGTCTTCAAACAACCCAAATAACACCTATATGCATGGAGATTATGAAATGGAGTACATAGAAATCAATTGACCATATTACTTTTTTTTTCCTTAGCATTTTTCCCACAAGTGCAGTGTCTGCTTTTTTTCAGATCAACCAAATGTTGATCCATTGGTCGCAACAGGAATTACTGGTATAATAATAAAGACATGGCAAAGACATGGCCAGGAGCTGAATGAGGAACAGTTCATGAACTGCTCTTGTCTGAGTTCCAAGTCAAGATAAAATGGAGGACAAAGCCAACCAGTTCTTGGGCATATACACACTATTTTCAAGGAGAACATCAGAAATCGCTTTGAAGTCCTGAATCTCATTGATAGGAAACCAAAGGAACTGTGGAATGAGATCAAAGAAACTGTTAAGCATGAACGTGAAAGAGACTGACAAAGATCAAGAAACAGAAGGAAACAAACTGATGTCAGAACAAACAGTGGAAATTGCCAAGAAGCCAAAACCAAAGGCAAAAAAAGGCAAAAATCTTAGGAAATAACTTCTCAAAGAATTTCAGAGACCTGTTAGAAAAGAGAATAAGCAGGATTACAAATACATCTGTAAAGATATTGAAGATGGAAACAGACACAGAAAAATAAGGAAAGTTTTCCAAAAGATTTCCAAACTCAAAAGGAAGATATAATCTCTAATTAGTATGCTAAAGGATGTCAATGCCAGATATTAACTGATTAAAAGAAGATCAAACAAAGCTGGAAGGAGTGTATACTGAAATTCTATACATCAGAGATGTCAATATCTAAGGTACTTTGGAAGATATTCTCTATTCACAAGTATTCTCCAATACTCTATTCTAGTATTCTCCAATACTAGAAGATGGGATTAGGTCTGCATTCCAGCTATTACCAAATCAGTATGCAACAGGAACTGGTGGAATATCTACAGAAATAAGGCAAGCAACAGAAGAAGAATCAATAAAGATCCTAACCAAACAACGCCAGCAAATCAAAATTGGGAGAGGCCAATTTGTATACCAGTACTGAAGAAAGGAGATTTAACTATCACAATATCCTTAATGCTTAATGCTGACATGCTAGCAAAATAATGTTTAGGATCATCCAGTGCAGACTGGAACCCTACATGTTCAAGCTGGCTTTAGAAAAGGCTGAGAAACAAGAGCTATTATTATACTGGATAATTGAAAACCCTGAAGAATAGCAAAAAGTATTCAATATATGCTTCATTGATTATGCAAAAGCTTTCAGTTACATTGGCCATGTCAAGCTGTGGAACATGCTTAGGAAAATGGGAATCCCAGAACAGCTCAGTGTCTTCACGTGAAACCTATGCATAGACAGGAAGCCACAGTACAGACAGAACATGGCAAAAAAGGCTAACTCTAGGTCAGCAAAGGAGTGAGACAAGGCTATCTCAACAGCAAACTGAATGGATTAAATTACAGCAACAACAGGTGCAGCATTGAAAGACCTGAAGGGCCAGGCTGGGGACAGATCTGGGGATAGACCTGGAAGGTCTATCTATATGGTCACTAAGAGTCAACACCAACTTGATTATTAAACTCTTTGACATAATACAGAAAAAATGTCAGTCAAGCGAATGAAGGAGCAAAAAGTAGAGAACATTTTGGCAGATGCAAAAGTATTTGGGAGGGTAGGTGGAGAAACATCTGCTATTCCTTGCTGTTTCCTACATTATCTCTGAAAGAGAAATTATGGGTAAAAAGAGCCATACAGCTTCTCAAAGTAATTAACTGATTCCTTGGTCTATGGAGTCTTCCTTATTCATACTGAAGGAGTAGTTGGTGGCAGTGGTGATCTGTGGCCCTGCCAACAGGCAATCAACAACCACAAAACATAACAAGTTGACAGACATTTTGTCAATGGAAGGGAGCATGCAACCAGTACCGCTCTCAATGTGCCACGTGATCTAAGAAAGTCAACTATTAAAATTTGGACAGGTGAGGGCAAACAATAATACTTTCCTGGATTGTTGGTCATCTTCTGGTGAATTGCTAAATGCCTACTGTTATACAAAAAAGAATGCTGGACTTAACATGATCTATCAAGCTTATTTATGTTGCCCCTTCATACTCTGATTTATTCTTTCTTAATATTATAATCCATCAGTACTAATTCTAATATTTGACATTGCTAGGTTTGAAGTACAGGTGAAAGTTGAAAGCATGCTGAAATATTATATAACTATTATTTTTCTACACCTAGAAAACTTATGCATAAAAACTTTACCAGGTGCTGCTCTTTCAGCTCCTCCTGCTGTACAATCTCTAGAAGATTAATGGCTAATTGCTGCCTAGTTGTGCTGTCATTCTCCTCAGTCATGTTGTCCTGGACAGCTGTGGATGACAATATCTGCAATGCAGGCATCACCAAGATGAGAGCCACCAATGGAGTCATCTTGATTTCAGAACACGAAAGAAGCTTGATGGCTATAAAAACAAGAGTACATTTGTATTTAGAATTTTAAAAATCAGAACCCACATAATATAATACTGAAATGTAGAAGTAGGATACAGATACAATCTCCACTTTAGAACAGAAGGATATTTGAAAACATGAAGCAGCCAACAGCAACTTACGTAGTTTATGTATCTAGTTTATGAGTATGTTTACTCATGAGTGAGGATCTCAGCAACAACTTCACTGTTTAGTAAATTCGACTGCTGCTGAAGAATAATGATATACAGAGTCCTTATAGAAGGATTTAAAACAATCATGGAGCCGAATTCAGAAATATTGATCCTTCATATTTGCTGGAGGGAGGGAACAGGGATAGGAACTTTCCATCAGCCAGTCCACTCTGTAACTCTTTTTGAACCTGCTTGCTCTGGCTGTGTCCTCAGCTACAGATTCCTTCTCCAACTGTGTCTGGATTCACACAGTACCTCTACACACCACAAATACAACACTATCCATGCCCAACCATCTCCACCATTGCCTAACAGATCTACCTTTATGTATTTTCACCAAAAGGCAGATGTGCCTGCTCCCAGGTGTCTTATTTGACAAGAAGCTTGTAAGTGTCTATATGATATTTTGCATGATTTTGGTAAATAGACAAAAATACCCTTTAACCCTGAGATCAATTTACAATTCTGCCCCAGTCAGGGAATCTCAATATTAAATGTACGTTTACTATGGAATCAATGTAGAAATAGGAATCTGAGATTCCTGGGTTGAATGGTGACAAACTGAGTTTACAACACTGATTCCTCCCCAGGACAAGGGAGTATTTCATCATCTTTTCATTGCCTTACAGTATTATTGAACTGGTAAGTGGAAAACTCCTTTGTCTTGCCTCATTTCTCACCACCTAGTACTCGTAAACTAACCTCAAAGATACAGTAAACAGGGACTGCACCATTCTTCCCAGGGAAAGCAATTTCTCAAGTGAGCTGTAGAACAGCAGAAAGCTTTAGCTTCTGCTGAATTTATTCCTGATCCACAAGAGTAAGTAAGATAAAGTAACTGAGGAAAAAAGCTATGTTGAGTTGCTTATTGTCCTATTGCTATGAATTTTTTAAGATGTACAGTATGGGATCATATCCAGCATTTATCTTAGCTAGTGGGAGTTTTGGAATGGAATACAAAGGAGATAATGATTTTTCCAGATCTGCCTCCACAAACAGTTCAGAAGCAGATGTTATTAAGAAAAGCTCATTGGGCAGCAAAACAAAAAGAAATTAATTCTTTTTTCCTTTTTCCAGCAATTTGCCACAGATGCTCCAGAGAAGTTTATTGTTTTGGGATCATTTAAAGAAATGTAGTAGCAGCTTTTTTTAATGCTTAATGTTTTTCTTTTCACATTTTTAGAGGGAAATGAAGCACTTTGCATTGGGGGCAGGAGTTGGGGGGGTAAATTCCCATACTCTATTTTAGTATACCTTATCTGGAAGTTGTTAGTACTAGTACAATATTTGCTTTTTTCAGTTTTAAATGAAGCACTTTGCATTGGGGGCAGGAGTTGGGGGGGTAAATTCCCATACTCTATTTTAGTATACCTTATCTGGAAGTTGTTAGTACTAGTACAATATTTGCTTTTTTCAGTTTCCTTTCTCATTTTTTTTCTTTTAGTTCTTTAATGGTCTTTTTTATTTTTATTTTATTAAATGCTCATTATGATTTTATTCAATGCTAATGGCAAAATGTTGACAGTGACTCTGGCACATAGATTACATAAATTATTAATCTGATTGTCCATCTTTCACAATCTGGTTTCTAAAATGGATGACAACCCTTAAATAATATTGGATTACTAATTGATATTTTAAATATACATTAGAAAAATTACATCAGCAGTGATGGTCTAACTAGAAAAGTCTTTGAGATGACACAGAGAAAATTTCTGGAGTACTTTTTGGCTGATAAATATGATGTTTTGTCTTTTTGTTATTAAATGGATGAACATTTCTATTCTAATTTTTGACTGGGATTATTATAAATAAAATTAGTTCCTCACCTATCAAGAAGTCTCATGGAACTCATGAATAATGTTCTGTATTTCCTCTTATTTAATTTGATATATAGATAAATCACTGACCTGTTCTCAGGCAAGTGAAGGACATTCTGGGCATAAAAACAGATGGAGTTTAACAAACCTATGTTTATGACATATGTCTTATTAATCTTTATGAACAACAAATTTGATCTACTATAGTTGCTAACGTGACCAACAAACTGATAGCTCCTGAAAAACTTATCAGAAAGTTACAGGGGCTTCTAATGAGCAAGGGAAGGGAAGGGAAGGGAAGGGAAGGGAAGGGAAGGGA